GATGGCTTTGCCTCCATAATCTACACATATTTGTATAGAATTACCCATTTAAAATTGATTGCTTCCTTCCTTTCTTTGGAAGACTCCCACATTTTTTTGTATCAAGATGGAGTAGTAGAAAGCCAAAAACTTTCTTTCCCAAAAAACTTTTTTTTTTTTAAATCAGGTTACTAAAGTGTTATTGCAATGTTTGCTAACCAACCTTCAATGTCCATTTTAAAGTCATAACTCAATGTCCATATGTATATCTTTTGTGAACTTGCAATTTCGACTTATCTTATTTGTATTGTTTCATACATCTGAAAAACCAATAAAATTGTTTTCACAGACTTCACAATATAGTATTTTTTGTTGGATATTCGTCCATTCATGTTCGACATTAACAAAAGTAAACCAGTGTAGTAGTGAAACTTGAATGTTTAAGATACTTCCGTTCCGTTCCGATCAAGCAACTATCAAATATTAAATAATTTGTGAAAAATAAGCAACAAATGATTCATACATTTATTTGGTTAAGCTTTATACATCTAAAACATATCTCACCATAATACTTCTTTATAAACAATGTAATAAAATATAAGATATATGTGAACAGTAGAGTCTGCAAAGTGGTTATACTTGAACAGAACATTTCATCATTTTTCAAGAAAAAAGTATAGAAAACCATAATAAGTTTGTTTTAACATTAAAAAATGGAGAAACTGACCTTATTAGGCGTATTTATCAACATTTATTGATTCTAAGACATATATAATATTTATAGAAGAACAACAACAAATAAATAAACAAATATTTATACATAAATACTGTCAACATTTTTAATGAACAAACGTTATAACCAAATCGAAATCTATGGAAAATATGACTATTAAAAAAAAGTTAATTGTCCAAAATATGATTTTAAAATCATTTGTGAATTTGGTCAATGAAGTAGTTGATTCAGTTTCAGTAGGTGAGATTAGGTTAGCCCCATTTCACCCTCTAAAATAATCTTTCTTTGAAAACTATCTGTCAAAGAATAGAAATATTATCTAAAATACTGAATACATCCTACGGAATTGGCCACTTAAAACCTAGTGTTGATATTATCTTCAGTTCGTCCCATATTCAAATCAATTTAACAATTTGAAAAAGATCTCAGTGAATATAAATTTGTGTTCTTTTTTCTTTAAAAACTATCTGTCAAAGAATAAAAATATTATCTAAAATACTGAATGCATTCTACGGAATTGGCCACTTAAAAGCTAGTGTTGATATTATCTTCAGTTCGTCTCATATTCAAATCAATTTAACAATTTGAAAAAGATCTCAGTGAATATAAATTTGTGTAATTCTAGAGGAAATCAGAAAAAAAATTGGTCCAATAAAAAACATTTGCAATTATTGTTAATGGTATGTAAATTATAGCCTAAAACACAAAATTTTAAAATCATTTACTGTTGATATCAATTCAAGCCAATGAAGAAATAATTGTATACAGGAAAATTCAAAGGAATAATAAACCATATGGTGTATTTTTTTCTTTCCTCAGAGGTCCATGTTCAATATTAGCTGCTAATATATTCACAGTATCGCATGAAGAATATCAAGAAAGTAAATATGAGTATTGATACCAATGCTAATGATCGCACTATGAATAATGGAGCTTTTAGTTTAATAAATACTGATCAGTGATGCCATATGTACAATTACAACCATTTTACACACTCTATGAAGACATCTGTTTATATAAGTACCGTCATATAAATAAACTGTTAACGTTAAACAACATATTACAACACCCCATGGAATTTTTTTGTACACTGAATACCCTCTCATCGAAAGATCATAAATCTATAAATCAACTGATGTCGAAAGCTGAAAAAACTACATATGAAGAATTGTCATGCATGAACATACACTTTTCACTTATTCTATAGGATATTAGTTGACCTATTTCTCTATTTTCATTAGGATGAATAATGTATTCACATGAAACGCCGTCTTACATTTTCATCCTCCATGATATGTCATCAATAAAACTCTGGAGACCTTTCATCCATGAAGGAGTAAACGTGTTCTTTCAAATATACAACCTTATGTGATATATTGAGAAATGATGGTAACACAGAATACACTTGTTTGCATGCTTCTAGAGCTAAAGTATATCCCATTTTTCGTATGAATAGTACAAGAAATAGTTTTTACTTGTATATTTATCAATGATAATAATTTAATACAATATGAACTTTATTCAAGACACTTTTCACCACACTAACTATAACAAACTATTTTACAATGCATATCATACAAATTACATAACTAAATTACTAATCATTTATCTTAGAAAAATAAGTAGATTTTAAGAAAAAGCAGTTACAATATAATAATTGGTCAATAATGATTAGTTCTAGATAAGTAGGTAAATTTTAAGAACAACTTGTGGTTAATGAAGATTAATTCTAAAAATTTGTATGGGAACATGGTCATTTAATAGGTAATTAGATATATGTATGTGTGTGATGGTATATTTGTATATATGTGTGTTTGTATTTATGTATATATTATATGAGCTGTACATTTAATTGATGTGTTAGTATTGAAATTGTTATGTAGGTGGTGGTGGAAATAAGGCTGTTGATATTTCGGGTTGATATAGGTTTATTTACATCGATAATATCCAGAGATATTCACATACATAAATACACATCAGGTACGACCACGTTACATTTTACACAATTCCTAGATATAACCATTGCCGCCGATTGATACTGACTGACCCCAGCGCTTCCTGATCTGGAGACTGTTCTCCGGGCATGCGACCTTGGCCTATATCAGTGGCGTAGCAGCCACATACATTACAGAAATCATTTATTCAATCACTATTTTGAGGTTTATCGCAATTATAAACATTATTGTTTCTTGGGATTAATAAAGATTATTATTATTATTATTATAAGTCATATTTCATGCTGGAATTGGGGTTGTTCGATACAGTATGTGGGCCGGTTGTTGGATTTTTAAGGAAGAGACAATTCAGAAATTAATGATGGACGACACCAACTTTATTTATTTCTGGAAAATCTCCATCTGATTTCACTTCCTAATATGTGATCGTGGTGTACCCCGGTAGCGATCTTGAAGGAATCTTGAAGAATGCTGTTTTTAGCGGTAGATATTTATAACATTTTCTTCACAAAACATTTAACGGAACACACAATTTAGCAAAACACACGTCTTGCTTGCTGTCTTTTCCATTCACGACTGACCCTCCGACCTCCGCGCGTGCGTATAAAGCCGTGTCACCAATGATGAAATGTTAACAATAATAATAATAATAACCATATCTAAACCCACATATAAGAACAGGTAAATAATGAACAGGGGTTGTTCTCAAAATGATGACATGCATAAAAGGATTTTGTTTTCTATGGTTCAAAACACCTTCTAGTGAAATATAATTCAGTAAATAACACCTCTAACACGAATATGCTCAGTAAAAAACTATTCAAACAAGCCATCAACCAAGTATACTTTCACATTAAAAATAATAACACATACAAAACAACCTTTTTGTCGAAAAATCATCAGAAAAAATAAAAAGAATACTGAAGCAACAAAATATTGAATTAGCATAAAGACTAGTAACACCTTGTGCCAACATATAATCAAGCATTAATAAAGATGAGAAAATAGTTGTCTACAAGGTAACATATGGATCGTGCTCAAAATGTTATCCAGAAAAAACGTCTAGACATTTAAAAACAAGAATTTCAGAACACAAAAAGAGTTCCAAACTGAAGAAACCCAATTCCACCTATGCATACGACCTTTCAGAGAACAACCATGATTCTGACATGAACTACGACATACACTGAAAACAAAGGATAAAAATTAAACCTGCTGCAATACCTGGAAATCAATAAATGAAAACAAATTTTTGTTCTGGTGAGTTGAAAGTGTTTTCGATATATTCATTTCACGCTGGAGGTTCCAAGTTCTACTCATCTAGTTGGGATCTGTTGGAAAAAATACACTGTACAACAGTTTATAAAGTATCAGTTTAACTGATGAAGCTACTGTGTAGGGAAACACGTTTCGAATAAAGTTCATAGTGTGAAAAATATTAAATTATTATTATAGATAGTGTTATTAATTTTCATCAAGTAATGGGTCAGTGTATTCAAAATTTGTATACATTACTTTGTATGACAATATGTTTTTCAAATGAGATCAATTTCCTCAATAACCTCCACAATAATTTTCAATTTTAGATTTTGAAATAAATAATTTCTAAAATTTGGATAATATGAGTAACAAGCAGGGATGCCCTGCCTCATGTGGGATCAATAATAATTTTTAACGTCATTAAAATCTCAAACTATTAGCTGAATAAGAATGTCAAAATCCACAATGAATAATTCTAATAGTAAAACCCTTTGCCTACTAACTACAAGAATATATATGTTTTTGGTATAGAAGAGAATCTTTATTATTAGCAATTAATGTTATTTTTGAGTCCGTTGTTGATTTTCTCAACTTCACTTGAAATCCTTTATAAAAAAAAAGGATATATTCAAACTAAAAATCATAGACCTATCATGTCTGTGAATAACAAAAAGAACACTGTTATTTCTTCAATAAAAATAACTCCATCAAATCTCATCTTGATATCAGTCTTGTCATTTGACAGATTTGTCGCTCATCATTAAAATTCATTGATGAATGAAGAACATACCTTAGTATTTCCATATTCCAACCACAGTAGAATAATACAACCAGTAAGCTCTCTTACCACGTGATCCGCCCGAGTTACCGGGGACCGCTCTTAGAATGAGATTCTCATTCAACGCGTTCAGTGCTGTAGTATCGAAGGATTCGACGGTCCCACGGGCATCAGATTAGTTATAATAAACGGTCGGAAATTGATATTGTGTTTAGTTTATTCGCTGTTGTTATTTTCGTTTTTAGTTTTTGTAGTTGGTTATAAGTAACTTACCACAAAATCTTCTATAATATCCTTAAATTTCGTTTTTATATGAGCGCACGCCTATGGTAAAAGATCGAAATTGGCTCCGCAGAGGTGTAGGAAATCAACACTTTGGAGTCAAATAATCCACCTAATTCTGCTCCAATTGATTTATAACAGTTTTGACGATCTTATCCAGCTAAAACCTTTAAATGTGTTTTGGTTCAAATATCACAGACCAATATACCATATATTTTTCAACATATCCAACCCTAGCAATGATGCATTCACTTTGCATTATGTAAATATAAGCAGAAAATTAAAAACATTATGTTAATAGCAACATTCAACTATGATTATTTCAAGTAATGAAAGATTAGTTTGGTTTTCTTCAATATCTAGTGGAATAGCAATGCTTCTGGTCTCGAGCCCGAATCGTACCTGAAACCGTTTTTGTTTCCATATCTCAATATCGCTAACATTATCAGTCAAGAGATAAATGAAAATCTCCTATGCATCCTATATCAATTTCGAGTCTCAAATCAATTTTGAAAGCTAAAATGATATTTAAGTTTTATATAACATTTGGTCAGCCAAAGGGGTATTGTAATAGCCTCAACAAATCACGATAAATAATTATGAAGCAGGCATATCTCCGTTTTTATCCTTTGTGGTTTTTGTAGCGGTGTTTGCACTTGTCGAACAAGCTATAGTAGGTAAATTTTCAGCTGCGGCCGCCCTTTCTGCAAGAAACCTCTCGAAGTCGCTACTCGTAACTGATTCTTCTACGCCAGTCTAAAACATAAATGGATGTTTGAATGTGAAAATATTAAATTGTAAAAAGTAAAAAAGACAGGAGCCGCACATAAATTACATCACAGGTCAACAACGGGGGAGAACATTTCAGATTTATAATAAAATGTTACACTAAGTATCTTGAAAATTGTGAAGTCACGTAGTCTAAAAACTGCAATTGTTCAAATTGAACACAATGGAAGGCACAGAGAAATGTAATTTTGAATTTTAGGTTTTTGATTTGTTTTCAGTTCAATATTCGAGTACCAAAAATAGTTTACCACTAATTGAGAAGGTGAAATGTTAAATTATTTGAATGTTATGATTTTTCGAATAGAAAATGACTTCATTTATCTCATAATATCAATGTGTATTACTTCAAGATATAAACAAAATTAAAAAACTGTTCTATGTATTTACCATATTCAGGATCAAAACAAATAAACTTTGCTAAATGCAAATTCAAGGAAATGATCTGGAGTAAATCATTGTTGAAAACTGAGTCTTATACAGGGCTTTTCATGATGAGCGTTAATTAGCCGTTTCTGACAAACTATATAACGGATCAACCTGAAAATTTCACAGTATGCATAAATCACTATGACCTACACGCCTATAATATTTCAGACGAAACGGCGTTGTCGCTTCTACTATAAAGTAGCGGCTTCTTTGATTTTTCAAATGGAACACCCCGTATATAATATCATATTATGATTCATTATCACTTTGTCAACAAATTCATATACTATTTCCCTATACCTATCTATTACCGTTTAGAAGATATAAATTAATTTCGATATTTTTTTTA